TTTGAAATCTTCTATTCAACTCCTTAGTATCTTGAATTCTTCCCTGTGCTTTGGCTTCTCTGCGCTCCAGTGCAATTTTCAGAGTCTCTTCTGACATCCACTTTGGTCTTTTCTTCCTCTTCTGCAGATGAAAATATAAAATGGTACAACCACTATGGAAAGAACTTTGGCACTTCATTAGAAAGTTAGGAATGGAAATATGAATTGCTGCAATAATACCACTGCTAGAAAGATACATTAAATAGGAACTGTCATACAAGCTGATAAGCACACACTCATTCTTACTGCAGCATTATTTAAAATAGGGAGTCATGAACAGCCCAAGTGTCTGCCGATGGATAAAGAAACTACAAGGAAACATACAATGAAATATTATGGATTTCTTAAAAAATGATCAAGAACTCCTTAATACAAAATGGATAAATTTAGAATTCTGCTGTATGACACAATTTATTCAGAAAAGGATAATTATGTCGTAAGAGCACTATTTGAAAAATTTGAAAGAAAAAGATTTTAACACAAATAAAATAGGTTTTAGATGGTTAACAGGCAAAGAGAGAGAGGGTTTGTTGTTGTGTGCCGTTGAGTTGGAACAGACAAGACTCATGGCTGAACTTAGAGTGGGTTTTCCAGAGGCAACAAAACACATGGAAGGAGCGTATAATCTTTCCTACATGGTGGATTCAAACCATGTGCCTTTGGGTTGGCAGGACAAATGAAAAACTGCGTGATGCAAATGTAGTAAAATAGGGGTTTATCAGACATTTTAATAAATTAATTACATTAATGGATTTCAACTGTAAAACAAAAAATGTAGGAATGATTGAACAAAAAATATTATTTTTACACTTTCACCCCCCAAAAAATTTTTAAATAGAGCTAGCATCAAAATGTAAAAATTAGCATAATAAAACAAACAATAAACCCAGTGGAAATCAACAGTCTGAGAACTAAAACAAAGAACGCTGAAAAATCCACAGAGGTTAAGAGAATTGTGGGAACAACCTTAGGCAAAGCAATCCAGGCATTTGGAAATAAAACAGGAATAAAGGTCAGACATCAAGGATTCTGAAGCTTCGTCTGACATACTTTGCGCATGTTGCAAGGAGGGACTGGTCCTTGGAGAGGGACATCATGTTTGGCAGAGTGGAGGGGCGGCAAAAGAGAGGAAGACCTTCGATGAGATGGATTGATTCTGTGACTGGAAAAGTGGGAATAAGTGTGTTTGAGATGGCTAGGTTGGCACATGACAGAACAGTGTTTAGAGCTCTTGTACATAGGGTCGCTATGAGTCGCAAACAATAACAACAACAAAGGTCAGAAAGAATAGTTGAAAAAATGGTTGAAATGTCAAAGTCAGGACATGGGAATTGATTTACACATCCAAAAAGCTCAATGAACCACACACAGGATAAATGTAAAGAAATTTCACTGAAATACAGTAAAACGAAACTCTTCATAACAAAGATAATCTGCAAGAAATTAATTAACAAATGATATTTAATGAGATTAAACATTGATTTTTCTTCAGAAACGTTGGAGGTTAGAAGACAATAAGGTAACATACTTAAGGTGCTAAAAAAAAAAACCCTGTTGAGCAAAATTTTCCCCCAATGCTAAAGCTAAAAAAGAACACACTGCCAAATGTACCAAAAGATAAGGAAGATTATTACAGCTAGACATGTCTTATAAGAAAGGCTTCAGGCACATCATATCAACAACCTCCCTCTCTCTTTCTCTGTTAACCACACAAAAATTATTTTGTGTATGAAGGGGTGAGTTGTTCATGAAGAAACTGCATATGGACTAAGGAGCAATCCTTTGACAGTATCAAGCAGACACTGCATGGTTAAAAAAAAATCAGAAAAGGTGTGCATCTGGTTTTTAGCCTTTCACCATACCTTAGTCAATTTGAATCTTGGGCAAGTCGTTTAAGAAATTGCACTACATGAAGAAGAATGTGCTGTTAGCATTGGAGGAATACTTAACAACCTGTGATATGCAGATGACACAACTTCATTTACTGAAAATGAGTAAGACATGGAGCACTTATTGATGAAGCTCAGTTAAATTTTCAATTTGGGTTATATTTAAAAATCTTCAAAAGTGGACCAACATCATGATAAAGGCAGAAAAGCCTGAAGTTGTCAAGGATATCACTGCATTCTGATCAACATCCATGGAAGCAGCAGCAGTTAGGAAACCAAATTACCTACTGCACTGAGCAAATCTGCTATTAAGAATTTCAAGAGCAAAGATATCACTTTAAAGATTAAGGTGTACCTGACCCAAGCCTGGGTATTGTCAACTGCTTCACATCCTTGTGAAATTTGGACAATGAATAAAGAACAATGACGAAATGAGAAATATCCTTGAATTGCAGTTTTTGCAAAGAACGGAATATGCTTTGAACTGCCAAAAGAACAAATAAATCTGTCTTGGAAGAAGTGCAGCATAAGCACATCTTTTTTTTTTTAATTTCCATTCATTCATTATTGTACTTTTCTCCCCTCCCCCCCCCAATACACTACCCTCTTGGAAAAGTAAAAGTCTTTCATTGTTTTACAACCCCTCCCCCCAGGACCACTCCACTATGCAGCATTCACTCTGGACTTCCATCATGACATAAGCACTTCTTAGAAATAATGATGATGAGAGTTTATCACATTTACTTTGGGCATGTTACCAGGAGGGGCCAATCCCTAGAGGTTATCACACTTGGAAATGTACAGTCAGTGAAAAAGAGGAAGAGCCTCAAGAACACAGACTGCCTGTTATCTGCCAAATGGGCTGAGGCATAGTAGAGTGCAGCACTTCAGAGGATTTTGCTCTCTTGTACATGGGCATGGTATGCGGTAGAGCAGCCTCAAAGACACTTAACAACACAGAGTAATTCAAAACTGCACAAAGGAAAAAGGATTCCAAACAATTTATTTCATGGCCAGGGAGAAGGGTTCTTTGGGGTTTTTTTAAGAATTCTTTCATATTTTTTGGTTCTTAACTAGTTGTTATGGCCTACATGATATACAATGACAAATACTAAGTTTATCTTACAATTTATAATGTATGAAGATGTCATACCTTTATACATTATCAATATGTGTGTTATAATTAATAAAACAAACAGATTTATCCTGGAGAGGGATAAACCAGACTGCTCCTTGGAGGCAAGGATTCTGGGGCTTTGTCTGATATACTCTGGACATGTTGTAAGGAGGGACAGGCCTTTGGAGAGGGACATTATACTTGGGAGGGTGGAGGGACAGCACAAGAGGGTGCTGTGAGGTAGATTGATTCAGTGACTGGGGTAATTGGGATAGGTGTGTCAGAGGCAGTGTGACTGGCAGAGGATAGAGCAGGGTTTAGGACTGTTGTACACCGAGTCACTATGAGTTGCAAGCAACTCGATGACACATAACAACAACAACAACAATAATTTATAATTAATAACTTATAATGAAGATATTAATTTGTGGTAAGAACTATATATGGTTGGAGAGTGATATAGGAAAAAAGTTTATGTCATTAAGTTCAATTGCTATAATTTTAAATGCAAAGTCACTACTGCTGAGTTGTTTCTGACTCATTTGAGTCAAAGAGATCAAAAGGAAAAGAAGAAATTTCTTTTTTCATTATTATTAATCTTAATGAAAATTTAGAGAGACTTTGGATTTCCATTTATTCACTGTTGCACTTTTCTCCCTGCCGACCTCTCCTCCCAGTACACTCTACTCTTTGAAAAGTAAAGGAAAAACTCTTTCATTGTTTTGTAATCCCTCTCCCCAGGTCAATTCTACTATGCAGCCTTCATTCTGGACTTTTGTCATGACAATACCTAACCATATATCTCTTTTAAACAATTTTCTCTCTGATCTGTTTCAATGCAGTATACATTATTTACCCCATCTTTCTCGTCCTCCCTCAACCCCGATGTCAGTCCTGTTTTACAACAGTGGCATTATGCAGTATGTGTCCTTTTGTGACTGAGATATTTCACTCAGCATAATGTCCTCCAGGTTCACCCATTTTGAACAATATTGCATGAGTTCCTTGTTTTTCAATGCAGCGTAGTATTCCATTGTGTGAATATACCACAGCTTCTCTATCCATTCATTTGTTGATGGGCACTTAGGTTGTTTCCAACTCTTTGCTATTGTGAATAAAGTCGCGATAAACCTGGGTGTGCATATATCTGCTTGGATGTCAGTTATGGTCTCTTTGGGGTATATTCCCAGTAGTGGAATTGCTAGGTCAAATGGTATCTCTATTTGCAACTTTTGGAGAAAGCGCCACACCGCCTTCCACAATGGCTGCACCAGGGAAAATTCTTAGGAGACAAATGAAAATGAAATGCATGTTAATGAGTTTTCTGTCATACTTACATCTCTGTGCCCACTACTAGCAGAATCATGGAGTGGAGTGTCATCATCTAGTCCTTGTGTGTTAACATCTGCTCCAGCTGCTATAAGTACCTTAGCAACATCATAATATCCAACATTGCAAGCTTCATGCAGGGGCGTCCAACCTATAGTGAGAATATGAATTTAAATATGGTCCACTTGTACAAATCCAGGACATATGCTTTTTACATGCCTAGCCAAACATAGTGCATCAGTGCTAAATGCATGTGGTATGAAACAAAAAAAGAGTGAAAAAGAAATTTTGAAATAGAAATATTTAAGACACTATTACTTCCTCTAGCACTACTAAACATCTACATGAACCCAATAAATGTTATTTATGTATAAAAGTAGTAATCGTCTTAAGGAAAAAAGAAAAAGTAGGGAAATATAAATAAACTTGATCCAAATCTTTTGGTTCACAAAATGTTTCATTTTAAAGCCTTTCATTTAATTAGCTGATGCAATCTTTTCTGGACTTAATTATTTTAATGAAATTTATTGTTTAAGTAAGTGTTATATAGGAGAAAGTTATATGTCCACTAAATAAAAGGGCTACTATGCAATACTACTAAAAAAGTAAAAAGAATGTGCTGCTGGTGCCACTGAGTTGCTCTGACTCATTAACAACCTGGCAGAGAACAGATGGAAATCCTCCCCAATCCTGAATCATCCCCACAACCTCTACTGGCAAATCCATTCTGCTGTCGCCCTGTCATCCTACCTCCTTGAGGGTCTCTTCCACTGACCTTTTACTTTTACAAGGATGGTACCTTCTCTAGGGTTTGGCCCCTCCTGGTAACATGTCCAAAGTCTCCTGGTTAACATGTCCAAAGTCTCACCATCATGTCCAAAGTCTCACCATCCTTGCTTCTAAAGAGTACTACGGCTGTATTTCTAAGATTCGCTAATTTTTTTGGCAGTTCATGGTATATACAATATTCTTTGCCAAAATCACAATTTGAAGAGTCAGATTCACCTTCATTGAGTTACAACTTGCTGATTAACACTTTAAAAGAGGTCACTAGCAGTAGATCATTCTATTGCAATACGTCATTTGATATCCTGATTGCAGCTTTTCTGACTGGATTTTTTATGGTAGTTTCAAGTAAAAGGAAATCATTAAAAACTTCAATCTTTTATCCATTTATCACGATTTTGTGTATTGGTCCAGTTGTTTTATGTTGAGGTACAATTCATACTGAGCTTCATCAATAAGTACTTCATATCTTCTTCACGTGTAATCTAATATCATTTAAAAAAACCCATGGTCTTAAAAAAGTCTTTTAAGCTCTGATGGTCCAATTGCAAGAAGCTGTGCTGCAAATCCTAAAGGCATGTGGTTCAAATCTGCCAGCTACTTCATAGTAGAAGGTTGAACAATCTCCCCCGGTACAATTTACTATTTCTCAAACTCGTTGGAGGGTCAGTTCTGACTTGATGGCACATAACAACAACATACATGACTATACTTTTTTTTTATGACTATACTTTCATACTACACTGTCACAAGGTACCAGTCCCTAGAAAAAGACATCATGATGGGAAAAGTAAAGGGTCAAAGTGTGGAAGACCCTCAATGACTGATACAGTGACTTCAATAAGGGGCTTGAGCATGGTAGTCTGTGAACATGGCACAGGACAGTGCAAGGTTTCTATCTGTTGTTCATAGGGTTGCTAGGATTTGTACTAGACTTGACAGCGCTTAATAACAATAATACAGTACTTGTACTGCATATGTATCTTTGAATTATTTTAACTATCTACTATCTCCTAATAACAAGAATTTATGAAATGATTTCTAATTTTTAGATATTAGAATCAGTGATGCAAGAAGTATCCTTATGCACATTCATGATTAAACATTTAAGAAAATTCTTGTAAATAGAAATATCAGATCATAGGGAAAGGCAATTTCTGAGGTTACTGTTACATATTATCAAGCCCACCTCAAAAACAGATGCTGTGACTTTAAGTTTCACACTTTAAAGTTGGTCTGCTCAGAGAATGGCCAACATTACTGGGGCAGCTATTGCTGCCAATTTAGGGCCTGTGTCAGAAAAAGGAAGTCTTACTCATAAACAGTACCACCCAAAGATAATAAAGGAGGTCAGAATTGCTTCCACTGTGGAAAGCTGGGTCACTTCAGTAGACAGTGTCACAGACGAGAGCCACAGATAGGCAAGGGAGTGCTTTAAGTGTGGATCTGAAGGGCACTTAGCCAAGGGTGGGCCACATCAGGTCCTCGTGGCTGACAGGACAGGCCCCAGCTTCCAGTTAGAAACAAAGGAGGACTCTTCAACGACTTAGATCCTCCCAGAAAAGCTGTGGGTGAGCATTAACATTACTGCTAAGTATATTCGTTTTCTCCTGGACACAAGAGCCTACTATTTGGTCCTAAAAGCCTTCTGAGGTCCCAACTCTTCTATTTCTTAGTGGTTGGAATTGATGGAAAACCTCATAAGCAGTTCCTTGCTTCACCTCTGCCTTGCATGCGGACTTCTGAGTTGTAAAACAGCCCAGTTATAATGGAATTTGGTCCAGGACTTAAGAACAATAAATGACATAGTTGAGTCTCTACATCTCATGGTTCCTAACCTTTATACTATAATAGACAAAGTGCTAGTCAATAGGCCTTTTATTGTGAACTACCTTCCCTCTGTAACTTAGTTTGTGCCATTATTAGAGCCTCTACTTGGAATATTATTGCTTTTTAATTTTTGACTCATGCACTTTTAACTTGTTAGTTAAATTTGTGTCTTCTAGGCTGCAACACTTCCATGATACATCTTCAAGAATATGAACATGTATGGCTAAGCACAACTGAGAACAGTGCATCTAAATTCCAAAACCAATCTCCACAATAGTCTATGTGTTTCCTATTGCCAAAGGGGCCCTTTAGAGTAGTGAGAGAAGATCTTTACCCTGAAACCTACAGTGTCCCTTTTCAGCACGAAGGAGGTAAGAGAATACACTGTCCCCTTTTCCTTATGAATCAGGGTGAAGTCTCTCTCAGGGAGGAGTGATAAGGAAAGGCAAAGGCCACACTGACAAAGGAGATTAATCAGAACTGGCTTTGGTGAGCACTATGGCAATTATACAATTAAAACAGACTTTCAAGGGGAAAAAAAAAAAGAAACTGGGGAGGAGGGTAGAGAAAATAATGCAACAACGAATGAATGGAAACCCAAAATCTCTGTAAATGTTCATTAAAATTAATAAAATTTAATTAAAAAAAATAAAGTTGGTCTGTGTTGCTGTTTGGTATCATAGAGTCAGCATCAACTCATAACCACCCCATGTACAACAGAACAAAACACCATTCAGCGCTATGGCATCCTCACAATCATTACGTGTGATCATTGCTGCAGACGCTGTGTTGCATCCATCTTGCTAAAGGTTTCCTCTTTTTTACTGACCCTCTACTTAACCACGCATGTCCTCTTTCAGGAAGTGGCCCTTCCCAATAACACGTCCAAAGTTTGAGAGACAAAGTCTTATCAATTTGGTTTCTAAAGAGCATTTTGACTGTACTATTTCCAAGACAGATCTGTTTGTTGTTCTGGTAGCAGAAAAGAACATTCAACATACATTATTATAGTCATTCTTTGATATAATTCAAAGGCATCATTTCTTTTTCCATCTTCCTTATTCACCATCCTTCTCGCACATGCATGAAACAACTGAAAACATCATGTTTTATAGCATAGTTCAATCTCTTGACTGCTGTTTTAGGGGTACTGATATGGACTGAAGTAAAACAAAACCCCATGACAATGTCAATCTTTTCTTCTCTGTTTATTATGATGTTGCATCTTGGGCTAGATATGAAGATCTTTGTTTTATGTTGAAGAGTAATCCATATTGAAGGCTACAGTGTTTGATCTTCATTAGTAAGTGCTTCAAGCAAAGTTGTACTGCTTGCATACTGAGGTAGGTAATGGGTCTTCAAACATGAGGGCGGTTTCTCAGATTATTTGTTCAACATACAGTCTCAGTAACTATGATGAAAGGTTACAAACATGATGGCCAGAGGGTCTAATTTTAAATCATACAGTATCCCTTTTTCTCTATGTCTCTTGGTCTGTGTAGATTTTGCGTGAGCGCAGTTAAGTGTTCAAGAATTCTAACTTTTCATATAATGTTATCCATAATTTGTTTTGATCCACACAGTCTGATGTCTTTCCATAGTCAATAAAACAGAGGCTAAAATCTTTCTTGCAGTTTCTGCTTTCAACCAAGATCCACTGGGTATTAGTAATGATAACCCTTTTTCCACAATCTCTTCTGAACCCAGCTTGAATTTCTAGAAATTCCCTGTTGACAGATCCCTTCAACTGTTTTTGAATTACTGCCAGCAAGATTTTATTTGTATATAATATTAACAATAATATTTTACAATTTCCATACTCTGTTGGATAACTTTTCTTTAGAATGGGCAGAAATATAGAACTCTTCCTACTGGTAAACCTAATAAGTGTCTTTCAAATTTCTAGGCATTAATGCTTCCAAATGGTGTACCCTTTTGTTGTGACAGACTATACTATTCTTAAAAATCTGTGTTATAAATCCATACAAGTGGATATGAAGCCTAGTAGTGCAATGGAGAAGTACTAAGTTGCTAACTGAAAGATCAATGGTTTGAATCTACCATTGTTCCTTTTGACAAAACAAACCAGTGTGCTGTTCCACTAAGACTATAATCTAGGAAACTCTATGGGCTAGTTCCATTTTGTCCTATAGAAATGCTATGAGTTGAAGCCCACTGGAAATCATATACCAACAAAACATGTGGATACAGTATCATGTAGAAATAGGGACTTTAGTTATCTAAGGCTGTATTAAGTCAGTGCAGGTTATTTCTTAACCACTTTTAAGACAAAAAAGGGGCCTTTGTGCACAAGAGCAACCAAGCATAAATTAGGAAAGTCTGTTGTATGGAGATTACCAAAGAGACAAGGAAAAGGAACTGAAGGAGACAAGGCTGTCTCCTTTAACAGCTTTTTGTAAATTTTTATTTTATTTTTATTATTTGTGTGCGTGTACCATCAAATCAGATTTGACTGGTACAGGAGGAGATTATTCCTCCTTCTTCAGCAAAGCATCTGGTGGATTTGAATCGCACACCTCCGGGATTGCAGTGCAGCTTCTTGCCACTAGGCCACCAGAGCTCGCCAAGGCTGTCTCCTGGAGAACAGATCATTCTCTGAAAAGCAGCAGCCTGAGTTTTGAACTTTTAGTGCCCTAAATGGTGAGGAAATAAGCTATTGTTCATGAAAGTATTCATCTTCTGTTCATTAAAGTTATTGGTACTTCTGTTAAAATAGCATTATGAAACAAGGATAAAACAGAACTAAAACATACATTATTAAAGAGCTCTTACAGATTAATATTACTAATAAACCAAAAGAAAATTCAAAAAGGACTAGATAAGGCAATTACAGGATATAAAGGTTTACAGCAAGCACAATAAAATATTTACCAACATCAGTGATTGAAATCCAATGATAATTTTTTTTCACTCATCAGATTGTTAATTAAACTGACACTATGCACTTTCAATGAAAGTATGTGGCAAATTACTCTCACATATTATTGAGAGTAAATTCAGAAAGGCTATCCTGAGAAGATAATTTGACTGTACTTTAAATACTTTAAATTGAGCATGTTTTTGAGTAATTTCCCTTCTAATGAAATGCTATATACAAAGGTTTTCAATAAGAGTGTTCACTGCAGTACTATTTATGGGATTTTATCTTGTATTATGCAACTATCATATGGAATGAAATAGACTTACTATGTCCTGATAGTGATTAGGTTTGTAGAAACAACATAGTGAGTGTGGGAGGCAGCACAGTATGACCTCACTATTATTACAAGAAGGAAGAATCTCCACCAACAAAGTCAACAACACAAAACTTATTCCTGAGGTCAGACATACTCCCACACACCACACCTTCTAATAATCACAGTACCAACCACCCGCCCACCACTCTCAAGACTCTGAGTGAGTTCAAGAATTCATTGTAATGGTCACACAGAACTCACAGATTACAGGATTTATTAAGGAAATAACAATCACAATTCAAGTTGGAAATACTTGGGATATAATTCTTCAGTTGGTCAAAGTTGGGGGCAGGCCCATCTAAGATCCTCAGTCTCACGGTCTTGGCCTCTGCCTTGCCTGAAAAAGCCTTGCAGGGCTCTTTTATTTCTGCCAGTCATGAGCCAATACACTGACTCTGCCAGTCTGCTTAGGCCTGAAAGTGCTTGGCTTAAGCTCTGTGCACCTAGCTCAGCTCTAGCTCATACAGGTCTCTACTTCTGGATCATCTATCTCTGCTTCCACCATCTGAGTCTTGCTCTGTCCTTCTAATGCCACAGCTCTCACTCTGTTCTGAGCAGACAGCTCACATACAAAGGATACGCTGTGCCCTCTGGGGATCTTTTCCCTTTATGATGATGAGATTCATTTTCTGTCTCTTAGCCTGCTAGGATTACGTCTGGTGGGATAGCAAAAGTGACCAATATGCATGTTAGCAGTCTACACACTTTATTTGTACAGTCCTATCCAGCCATTAGGGAATGAAAGAAGCTGTGCTGCAAACCTAAAAGTACTCAGTTTGAGTCCACCAGCTGCTTCATGAGAGAGAGATGGACAATCTCCTCCAGCACAATTAACTGCCTTTGAAAACCCACCAAAGGTTCAACTACAGGTTGGTTACAACTCGAGGGTACATAACAAAAATTCGGTCATTACAAAGCCAATGATTAGAAATGCTATAATAACTCACTACAACACAATGTCAAAAAAAAAGCAAGATGCAGAACTAGAGAGGGAAAGAAATGATCTTATTTATGTTTAAATATTAAAAACACCACAAGCCGATCTATAAATGTTCATTTCACATATATATTAAAAACCCAACTCATTGATATCAAGTAGGAACTGACTCATAGCTGACCCTTCAGTGGGTTTTCAAACTTGACCCTGCACAGCAGCTGGAGGATACTAACTGCCTGCTTTTGAGTTGACATTACAACTCTTTACTACTAGTTTACCTACCAGGTCACTAGAGAGACACACATAGATACGTGGGAGCTCTGATGGTTCAATGGAAGAAACTGTGTGTTGCAATCTTCAAAGTATGTGGTTCGATAACACTAGCTACTCTGTGGGAGAAGAATGGACAAGCTCCTCCCTTGTGATTTATTGTGTCTGAAAATCTAAGTGGATCAGTTTTAATCTGGAGGCACACAACAAAATCCTCATATTTAGAAGTGCTCATTCTTTAGTTAAAGATAATTCTTCAAATATGTATGAATGAACAACAGCTTTGAAATGTAACTCAAATTCACCTCTCCAAAACTAATTGCTGTCAGGTCAAGTCTAATTCTTTGTGACCTAATAGGACCCAAAGTGCCTCCTAGAGTTTTTAAGATTATAAATCTTTACAGGAACAGACTGCTACATCTGCCCCCAGTGGAGTGGCTGAAGGGTGAACTGCAGACCTCGTGACTATTGTGTCCTAAAAATCCCTACCACCTTCTCCAACCCAAACCAGATCTACTGCCATCAAGTTGATTCTGACACACAGCTGTCCTACGGGTCTAAGAGGGTTTGCTTTACTGGTTTCTAAGGGTTGTAAATCTTTAGAGATGCACACTCCCCATTGCACAGAAGCTGGTGGGTTTGAGTTACTTACCTTTCAGTTAGCCAGCAGGCTCTTTAACTACTGCAAAAGAGGTTACTTAATTCACTTATTTTTCTTTTAAAAAAACCCCAAAATCCAAACAAACCAAATCCACTGCCCTTGAGTTAATTCTCATTTCACCAGCTGGTGAAGTTCCACCGGGTTTCCAAGTCTGTATATATTTTTAAACTTCATTTTCCATATGAGAGGTTTGCAAATCATACTGGATTTTCATATAGTCATTCATAGACATTTTGTTCTATAACATTAATTATCACCAATTGATTATAATGTCAAAGAGACTACAAATCTTTATAGAGCAAATGGGACTCATCTTTCTTCCACTGGAGTGCCAGAGCTCTTTTAATTCACCTACAGTACAAACTAAGTTAAATGAAGAATTATAAAGGCATATGCCAACAAAGAGTTTTTGCAATAAATCACATACACTAAACACTATCATTGAATTACTACTACTAATCTTACCTGCAAAATCTTTCACATTCACATTTGCCCCTAAACTTATTAACTCTTTAACTTGTTTCACATCTCCTCGAATAGCTGCCATATGTAAAGGAGTTTCACCACGTTCATTTCTCTTATTAACTTTATCTTTTTGTCGAGATGAGGAACTTGGAGGCTTTTTTTGAGTTGGTGTCGTTTGTGACGGATGATTTGGTGTAGAATCTAGAAAAGAAAATAAAGTTTTAACAAAAGTTTGTGGCCTATTTTTTATAGCTATTTAAAGATTTTGTGTTAATTTCTTGGAATAGACAGGGAATGTCTTAACATAATCTGACTTGATTTGTATATTAATAATTTGTGCTAAACATGGAATAAGATTTTCCTGTAGTTCTAGCAAATGCTACATGAGCCAACTGAGAATATTTCATACTTTCAATTAATAAAATTGGCTTAAAATGATAATAATGTATCATGTACTCTAAAAAAGTTTGTTCAATCAAGAATTTCATGAACTCCTAAGGTACACACTCTCTTATGATTGACACCTTTGAGCTGTGGTGTTGGAGCAGAGCACTGAACAACCATGGCTGGTCAAGAGAACAAACATGTCTTGGAGAGCGTGCCGTCAGGGTGCTCTCTGGAAGCAAGAATGATGAAGCTTCGCCTCACATACTGTGGGGATGTTGCTAGAGCTATTCCTTGGAGAAGGACATGCTGCTGGGAAGGGTGGAGGGTCAGCCTTCAAGGAAAGACAGATCCTCTACCAGGTGGGCTGACATGGTAGTTGCTACAATGGGCTCTTGTATGTCAGGAAGTGTGAGGATGGCAGAGGAGAGAACAAGGTTCAGATCTTTTATTCATAGGGTCACTATGAGTCATATTTGACTTGACAGCACCTAACAACAATAACAACCACTACAAGGAATGTACTTTTCACAGGCATGTTAACTATTAGCCTAAGAACTATGATGGGCTTGAAGGCAAAAGCTCCCATTTCTGACTCAAAGAACTAGGATTCTATTTTGATACTAAGTGGAAATTGTGATTCCAGATTCTACTATAAAATGAAGATGGAGGAAACAGAAAAATGTTCTGTTAAAACTGTACTGAGCTCCAGCCACCACGATACCCCACTTCCATGGATGCACCCCCGGTCTCCGCAGCCACCACCCCCTCACCTTTGCCCCCTACTGCAGCTGGAGAGCCGCCTGACGGGCCAGAGAAGAGCGAGACTGTATGCGAGGACCACAGCAATGCAGAGTCTCTGGATCGGCTCCTCCCGGCTGCAGGCACTGGACGCTCACCACGGAAGCGTACCACAAGCCAGTGCAAGTCTGAGCCCCCCCCTGCTGCGGACCAGCAAGCGAACCAACTACACAGCGGGGCGACCACCTTGGTACTATGAGCATGGCACACAGTCCAAAGAGGCCTTTGTCATTGGCCTGGGTGGTGGCAGTGCCTCAGGAAAGACAACTGTGGCCCAAATGACCATCGAGGCCCTTGATGTACCCTGGGTAGTGCTGCTGTCCATGGACTCCTTCTACAAGGTGCTGCCCAGGCAGCAGCAGGAACAGGCTGCCCACAACAACTTCAACTTTGATCATCCTGATGCCTTCGACTTCCATCTCATTGTTGCCACCTTCAAGAAGCTGAAGCAGGACAAGAGTGTCAAGGTGCCCATCTATGACTTCACCACCCACAGCCACAAGAAGGACTGGAAAACTCTCTATGGTGCCAATGTCATCATCTTTGAGGGTATCATGGCCTTTGCAGACAAAGACACTGCTGGAGCTCCTGGACATGAAGATCTTTGTGGACTCAGACATCAGGCTGGTGCGCAGTCTCCGCCGAGAAATCAGTGAGCAGGGCCGGGACATCGAGGGCGTTATCAAGCAGAGGAGCAAATGGGGTGGGAGTGAGGGGGTTTGTGCGGGGAGAAGGGTGCAACAATGAATGGATGGAATTCCAAAATCTCTGTAGATGTTCATTGAAATGAAAAATAAACAACCTAATTTTTTTTTAAATAAAACACACACACACACAAAAACAAAAAACAAGTTCGTGAAGCCTGCATTCGGGCAGTACTGGCCGACACTGTGGTGCCCAGAGGGAGTGGAAACACAGTGGCCATTGACCTGATAGTGCAGCACGTGCACAGCCAGTTGGAGGAGCGTGAACTCAGTGTCAGGGCTGCGCTGGCCTCTGCACACCAGTGCCACCCTCTGCCACAGACACTGAGCGTTCTCCAGAGCACACCACAGGTGCGGGGCATGCACACCATTATCAGGGACAAGGAAACCAGCCATGATGAGTTCATCTTCTACTCCAAGAGGCTGATGCGTCTGCTCATTGAGCACGCCCTGCCCTTCCTGCCCTTCCAGGAGTGTGTTGTGCACACCCCGCAGGGCCAGAACTACTCGGGCAAGTGCTACGCGGAGAAGCAGATCACCGGTGTGTCCATCCTGAGTGCGGGTGAGACCATGGAGCTGGCGCTGCGGGCTGTGTGTAAAGATGTGCGCATTGGCACAATCCTCATCCAGACCAACCAGTTCACTGGGGAACCTGAGCTGCACTACTTGCGGTTGCCCAAGGACATCAGTGACGACCATGTGATCCTGATGGACTGCACCGTATCCACGGGTGCGGCAGCCATGATGGCTGTGCGTGTGCTCCTGGACCACGATGTGCCTGAGGACAAGATCTTCCTGTTGTCACTACTCATGGCCGAGATGGGTGTACACTCAGTGGCCTATACCTTCCCGCGGGTGAAGATCATTACCACTGCAGTGGACAAGCGTGTCAATGACCTTTTCCGCATCATCCCAGGCATTGGGAACTTCGGTGACCAGTACTTTGGGACAGATGCTGTCCCTGACGGCAGCGACAAGGAGGAAACAGCATCTACGAGTTAGTGGACTGCTGCACCCTTTTCACTCTGAATCCATCCTGGCATCCTCCTGCTCCCTGGGCTAAGTTTGCAAGATGCCCAGATGTTAACTTATTTTGATAATAAAAAGCTACCTATAATGCAAAACAAACAAACAAAAAACCAAAAAAAAAACCTGTACTGATAGGGTGGGTAGAGAAGTGCAGCAATGAATAAATGGAAATCCAAATTCTCTGTAAATGTTCATTAAAATTGTTTTTAAAAAAGCATAAAAAATATAAAAAATAAAACAAAAAACAACAAAAAAAACTGTACTGACATAATCAGATTTTTCCTAGTGATAATCAAAATATTTCCTCTTAAAAATATTAGTATTACCCAAGATGATAACTCAGTTAAGAAAGAACACATGAACAATTAGGTGAATAAATGAGAAAACTAGTATCTCAAAAGATTTCACTCTAATTCTATACATATTAGTAACTAAGAAAGCTGACAAGAATCTAACCTTAAATGAAAAGAAGAGAAGAGAATAAGCCTACAATCTCAACCAAATCAAAGTCACTGCCGTTGAGTGGACTCTGATTCAGAGTACAATCTTGTCTGCTGGAGCAGAAGTGCCTCAGAGGGTTTCGCCAGACTGGACAGTAACTATGAGTCAAAATCAATTTGACAGTGGTAGAGAATAATCTTTGTGGATGTAAACTGCTGTCTTTCTCCTACAGAGCAGCAGGTAGATTCTAACAGCCTACTCTTCTTTTAATTAAAAAGATGTGCACATACTCACTGTACCATAGGACTCCACAGTAGAATCTCATTTATATTTAGAAATAAACTACAATAACCAATATTCGTTTTTATACTTGCATAGATCTAGAATCAAAAGAAGATGGAAAGAATATACTGAGTCACTGTATTGAAAGGAATTGGCAGACACAGAAGAATTTAATGAAATAACATACGAGGAAGAGCTTATGGTATGAAGAAGTTAAAGCTGCTTTGAAGGAAATAGCAAAAAATAGGGCCCCAGGAATAGATAGATGGTATACCAACTGACATATTTCAGATAACGGATGCTGCCCTGGATGGGCTCACCAAGTTGTGCCAAGAAATCTGGAGAACAACCACTTGGCCAACTGACTGGAAGAGATCTATATTTGTTCCCGTTCCAAAGAAGGGTGACCCAACAGAGTGTGGAAACTATAGAATAGTATCATTGATTACACATGCAAGCAAGATTCTACTGAAGATTATAAAAAAATGACTAAAACAGTACATCAGCAGAGAACTGCCAGAAGTTCAGGCTGGGTTTAGAAGGGGTCGTGGTACTTGGGATAATGTAGCTGATGTTTAGATGAATCTTAGTTGAAAGCAGGGAATACCAGAAGAATGTCTATCTGTGTTTCATTGATAATGCAAAGGCGTTTGACTGTGTGGATCATAACAAACTGTGGCTGACTGAAAAGAATAGGAATCCCAGAACACATGATCATGCTAATGTGAAACTTATACTTGGACCAAGAGGCAGTCGTCAGAACAGAGCAGGGTAACACTGCATTGTTCAAAATTGGGAAGGGTGTACGCCAGGGATTTGTCCTGTCTCCATACCTTTTCAACCTGTATGCAGAACAGATTATCCGGGAGGCTGGGCTCTATGAGAAGTGTGGCGTCAGGATTGGTGGAAGATCTATCAACAATCTGCGTTACGCAGACGACACAACCCTGCTTGCTGAAACTGAGGAGGCCCTAAAACGCTTGCTGCAGAGGGTCAAGGATTGCAATCTTCAATACAGATTGAGGCTCAATATCAAGAAGACAAAGATTCTAACCACTGGACCAACTGGAAGCATCAGGATAGATGGTGAAGAGATTGAGACTGTTAACAACTTTAGTCTGCTTGGCTCCACAATCAACACTCTTGGCAACAGCAGCCAGGAAATTAAAAGACATATTGTGATGGGAAAGTCTGCTGTTAGGGACCTCTCCAAAGTATTGACGAGCAATGGTGTCACTCTGGAGACTAAGGTGTGCCTGATACAGTCCACGGTCTTTGTAATCCTTTTCCATGTGTCAGGGAGCTGGATACTGACTAAGGAGGACAGAAAGAGAATGATGCCTTTGAGCTGTAGTGTTGGAGAATACTGAATATACCATGGACTACGAAGAACACAAACAGGTTCATCCTGGAGAGGGTTAAACTAGACTGCTCCTTGGAGGCAAAGATTTTAAAGCTTTGTCTGACATACTTTGGACATGTTGCAAGGAGGAACCAGACCTTGGAGAAGGACGTCATGCTTGAGAGGGTGGAGGGACACCGCAGGAGAGGAAGACCCTC